GCCGCTGTCCTGACCTTTTTAGCTCAGAAATTTTGGTGTGTCTCAGGTACCTTCTGCCTGTCAGGGGGTAGAGCCATTTTTTTCTATTTCCCTTGCAACTGACATTAAAAGAAGAAAGAAGGATGGGGGAGTCAGAGCCAGGGAGATAGCTCAGTAGAATAAGACTTGCCTGGCAAACACAAGGTCCTGAGTTCAATGCCTGGTACTACAAACAAATGAACAAACAAAAGGATGGGGGAGTCCATAGAGGATTGTTGACATTTGTACCCTGCAACTGAAGTTTGAGTTCCTGAAAATTTGGGACAAGTCATACACTGTTATGATTCTATACCTTTTAAAGCCCTAAAAGAGTTAACACAAGCTATTACTACTTAGGATCTTACTGCTCCCTTGATCTTGAGTGTGCTAGAAATCCTAGACAGCACACTGTGGCCCCAAATGATTGGAAAGGAATAGCAAAAGCATGTTTAAGTGCAGGTGATTACCTGCTGTGGAAAGGAAATTTCCTTGGATATTGCACAGACCAGGGAGCTCATAATACTGTTCCTAACAGCCATTACAAAAGATGTGCTAACTGGGGAGGGTGCCTTTGCTATCACAAGCCGTATCAACTTACCCTTGAACTATCAGCATAGGAATAAAGTAAGGTAGCTGCCACGAGGGCTTGGAGGGAACTTCCCTCAAGAGGTGGGGCATCCCTCAATGGGACTTCCATTTATCAGGGCCCTGATGAGCCTTCTCAAGATTCTGTGGCACACTTACTGCAAGCTAGTGTAAGATACGTGACACAGAGGCTGGAACACTAATAGTTCAGCAGCTCGTCTTTGAAAATGCAAATGAATGACGTAAGGAGGCTTTAAGAGCTCACCCAAAACGGGCTGCAATGCCAGAGATGCTTTGGATCTGTGCAGACATTCGTTCCTCCCTGTGTACAGGGAGCGGCCTTGGCAGCAGCTATTACTCAGGTTATTCAGCCATAGTCTGGAGCAAGAAAAAACAAGCAAAAAAACCCAGGCTATTTGCTTTCATTGTGGGAATGAGGAGCATTTAGCCCAACACTGCTCCGCTGTACCAGTAAAGGCAGGACAGCCATTGTTGGTTCTTCAACTAAACCTTGCAGTCAGTGAGGGCATCACTGGAAAATGAGTGCAGATGTGGAGCTGCTGGGAAAGGTCAGCCCTCTCCAGGAAACCCCCACTGGGGCTTGCCTCAGTCCACCAAACAATGGGGCACATTCCTCAATTCTACCCCGTCTCACCCTCTGCCACCAAGTACATCTGTGACCTTGGGCAAGCAACAACAGGCAGCAGAGGCTTGGGCCCCAACTCCTCCTGCAGAGTCCTACTCACCGCTGAAATGGGGCCCCAAGTTATTCCTACTGGGGTCTATGGGCCTTTGCCTCAGGGTACAGTGGATTCCTGGTAGACTGAGGCAGTCTTATTTTTAAGTGTTTGCAGGTGTTGTCTGCTGTCATTGATACTAATTATACAGGGGAAGTCAAGGTTATAATTCAATATACTCAAAACATTGTTCAAATCACCTCAGACTCTCATATTGCTCAGTTCCCGGGGGTGGGGGAATTCACAAATAAGGAAAGGCGATCCCAGGGTTTTGGATTTTTCTGATACATATCGGCTTCAACAGATTAAAAAAAAAATGCCCAAGTTCAAATTGGTTATTTGTAGAGGACCACCTGGACTACTTTCCTTGAAAGAAGAATAATTATCTCATTTTGGCTGTGCCTGACCCTACTTCCATGTACTGATAGGCACAGAGCTGGCTAGGACCTTCCCACACCCTTCAACTGGTTTTAAGCAGTGCCTATTGGTCTAGCTGAGGTGCTGGTGGTAGTCTTTGAAGATGGCACTCACATTTCCCTGGTAACCCCCAACTGCTGCTCTTTAATATGAGCGGGGTCAAGACAGGATGAAAAGCTAATGCTCCATGCTGTCCACTAGGATCGAGCCTCGAGATAGAGGCTAAGACTTCCTGGGGCTTGAAAGATTACACATCAAAGCTGAAGAACCGGACCCCAAAACATCAGATACTGTCTCAATGGCATAATGCAGATTACTCTCTGCATCTCCTTCTCTGCATACTGCAGTAGTAAATACAGGCCTCCTACCTAGCCCAGCTCACAATACTCACCTACTTCCTGCATTTTCAGTCACTCATCCTCAAGCTGCTCTTCCTTCATGACTGAATAAAACCAAGGTTCAGGCCTGGGTTGAGGTCTTGTTCTTGAGAGCCATCACCATGGCTGGACTTAGGAGCCTTTGGTTCCCCATAACTATAAATATGCGTTAGTGTCTTTATTCTCACTGTAGGTTACATTGGAAGTGGTAGATTGGAATTAACTTGATGAGATTCTAATAATTTATCCATGGGATTACAAATATAAACTTCCTGGACCAAGATGAGGACCAGGGAGGGCTCTCCATAATTATTGAAGGAAAAATATTTAAAGGGATTTTGGACACAGCGTGGCTGTTTCAGTTGTTGCCCAACAACACTGGCCTACAACACATCCCCTTGATGTAGCCACTACTACCTTACAGGGCATGGATGGTATTTCTCAGACTAGTAAAAGTGCCAAGTTACTATCCTAGAAGATGTAGAAGGTCACTGTGGTTATTGCTCACCTTGTGTCCTCCCCTGTATTCTGGTCAATCTATGGAGTCCCAACATATTGTGAGATACGACACATTTTTAATTAGTCCCAGCTCCGTGGTAACTCATTAGATGTGACAACAATGGTTGAGTCCCACCCAAGAGCTTGCTAAGAATCATCAAGAAAGAGCCTGTGTTAGGCTTTCTTTCTCTCTCTCTTTTTTTTTTTTTTTTCAGAATCAGGGATTGAACTTAGGCCCGTGAGCTTGCCAGGCAAATGCTTATTCTACTAAGCCATCTCCCCAGCCCCTGCTTTCCTAAAAGGGGCCAGTTTTGTATAGGCTACTCATTCTCACATTTTCCCGAGGGGCCTCAATCTCTTTTCTGACTCCACAAAGAGTGTCTGAGATAACCTGGATATCTGATGGCTCTGTTTGCGTTGATCAGTGGCCCCTTACTCAGGAGAAAACTACGGCAGCTCATACACATCATCATGAACAGATAATGTCAGGGCATGATAACCCTTGGAATCTCAGCATTTTTACCATTTAAAAAAAATGAGGAAGAGGGAGATTTCTATAGGAAGTCTGATTTCTACAGGACTTGTGGGTAGTGTACCATTCCATAGAATCTATGGAGCACAGCAACCAGGGACTGCTTTGTCCTGTAATCTATTCCTTTGCCTCTTTCTCTTATGGTGACTGATTTAAGGGACTGTTTTTTTCTATCCTTCTCCACCCTCAAGATGAAAGATGTTTTGCTTTTAGTTTACCCTCCATTAATAATGATGCCCTATGCACCGCATCCAGTGCTGTCTGCCACAGGGAACAGCAAATACTCCAGCCTTTGTCGAGAGTTTTTAGCTGCAGCCATTCTGTCAGTATGACAGGCCTATCCATCTGCACAGCTTACCCGTCACATAAATGGCCTTCTTCCAGCACGTGGGTCTTCATATACCGTACACCAAATAGTGATCTAATTAGATGATGCTCTCTGCAATGCCCCTGAGAAGGCGCAAAGTGTGGCACCTGTGTCATATATAGGTCATCTTATCCAGCAGAGATATATTGTGCCCCAAGCTGTTCAGGTCCAGATTAATAATCTTACAACCTTAGTCAATTTTTAGATCTTACTTGGCAATATTAATTGGCTCTGCCCAGCTCTTAAGCTAACTATTCATGATTTAAGTCCTCTCTTTGACATTCTCAAGGGAGACCGACCCCACCTCTCCAAGAATGCTTACCCCAGAGGCTAAAAATGCCTTAGAGAACTTTAATTCAGCTCTTTCTAATGCTCAGCTCTCTACAGTTGACCCATCTCTGCCAATGCTTTTAATTATTTTCCCATTTACAGGCTCACTGGGGTTCTTTGGCAGTCTTTGGGCCCTTATAATGACTACATATGCCACACACTCCACATTAAAATATGACTCCCTTTCATAATGCTATGGAAGAGCTGACTGCATGTGGACAAGCATGTGCTATTCAGTACTTTGGTCATGAGATGCAAACTATAATTGTTCCCTCCTCTTTGGTTCGACAAAAGCAGTTTCGGCAATTTTCATCCTCTTGGCAATCTACATTGGCCAACTTCCCTGATGTTATCGATTGTCATCCTTTGGACAAATTAATTCAATCTGTTTCCCTCACACCCTTTGTCTTCCCTTCAAAAATAAGCTCAGTCCCCATTGTCAGGGCATCTCCGTCTTTGTGGAGATAAAGGGGAGGGGAGGTCATGCAACAGCCTCCTCTTCCAGAGTACAGGATACGGGTTTCTCTTCTGCACAAAAGACTGACTTACAAGCGGTCGTGTGGGCCTTGCAATGCCATTCATCCACGCCAGTCAATCTCTTTGCAGACAGGGCTTATATCCGTGGTGTAATGCACTATATTGAAACTGCCACTGTACACACTGGTCAAGAAGATCTTTTTTATTTACCTCACCGTCTCCAGTTTGTCACATGGTCACATCATGTCCCCTGTTCTGTTGGTTACATACATTGCCATTCCCTATCGCCAGGGCCTCTCCCTGAGGGAAATGCTTCCTTAGACAAATTGTTAGTTACTGTCACTCACTGTTCTTCCCTCAGGTAGCATTCAACAGGCCTCTGCTCCTCAGGCCTCCTGTCATCACAACGCTTCTGCCTTGAGCAACAGTTTCATCTAACTGGGGAACAGGCCTAAGGAATTGTTAAATGATGCTCCACATGCATAATGCGCCTCATTCCCCACCTATGGGGCTCAATCCAACAACCTGATCATCTCTGGCAGATGGATGTCGCTCACATTCCTGATTTTGGTTCTTTGCGCTGGGTCCGTGTTTCAGCGGATAGTTCCTCAGGATTCACTTTTGCTTCTACCTGAACTGGTGAAGCAGCTAAACATATCATTGTGCTCGCTTCGGCAGCACATATACTAAAAAATTGGAATGATACAGAGAAGATTAGCAAGGCCCCTGAGCAAGGATGGCGTGCAAATTAGTGAAGTGTTCCATATTTTTCTGGAAGTATAGGGGTCTGTGACAAAGGTTAATTATAAGAGCAAAATGAAAAAGAAAATGTCATTGCTCATTGTTTGGATGCCTTTAGTATGCTTGGCTGCCCATGGACACTTAAGATTGACAATGGCCTGGCATATACCTGTGCTGCTTTCCAAGTTTTGTAATACCTCTTACATTTTTCTTTCCATGAGGATTCCTTATACCCCTCTAAGTCAGGGAACTGTTTTATTTTATTTCATTTTATTTTATTTTTTGGGGGGTGGAACTGGGGATTGAACTCACACCCTTGCGCTTGCCAGGGAAGCACTTATTCCACTGAGCCGTCTCCCCGGCCCCATCAGGGAACTGTTGAAATGTGCTCACCATATGATCCAAGTTCAATTATAAGGGCTGGCCAGACAGCTCAGCAGACTAAAGTGCCTGCTTAGGCAGAG